TTTGTAGGGTTGGTAGGGTGGGGGTTTCAATCTGCAAACGCGTTATTATGTCCCATTTATAGCAATGCCTCTGGTTGCATCTGAGGCCAAGACGGTGCTGAGCAATCAGATTTTCCAGAGCAAGAGGTTGCTCTTGAGGTTGGCCCCCCCAGTTCTGGGATTCACTGGGCGCAGGACTCCCAGGTTTGGGTACTTACTACTAGTAATATAGTAACAAGAAGCTACTAGGGGCTCCTGGCCTTACTACTAGGAGCAAGGACGCTACTAGCGGCTCCTGGCATCGCTACTAGGAGCATTCTTACTGCTAGGAACAAGATTGCTTGGTCTCGGGGGCCACCCTCGGTAAGTAGGTCTCGGATAAGAGGACCGAGGTTTTGCGCTGGGCTTGCTGGATCTTGCTCTGCTGTGCTGCAAATTGGTGTAGAGACCGACTCTGTGAATGTTGAAAGCAGGCCAGTGCTTGCGTGTTTGCAGCTATGCATTTCTTTTAAAAAGGGACCACAACATGAGGGATAGCCAGAGCACTGAAGCTTTGGTCTTGTGTAGTGTTGTCCTGTTGTGGTGTCGTACAGTTGTAGCTGACATCGAAGTTGACAGTCTTCGGCGATGTGTCACATGGACCCAAGTCCATCGGTTGGCGCCGTGGACGGCTTGTCAGACCTCGATGTAGGTCCTTTTTGTAATCCTGGGACTTCCTGCCAGGTTCAGTCACAGTCAATGTATTTCTGTTGGAACTGTTGGTCACTGTTGGTTGAACAGAATCTTCCACCAGAGATACCAGAGATACGCAATTGTAACTGCGACATGAGACTGGCAGATTCTCTTCTAGGGTTTGGGCGGCCCAGGGCCAGGCGGCACACGAATGTGTGCTACGCAACTGACCTCCACGGCACACTTTTGAAAGGCGCATTCAGAAAAGGCCCGTTGAGGGGGGAACGGAGAAGGCCGAAGAGATAAAACAAGGATGACTGTGATGGTGATAGTAATAGTACCGAACAGTTGCTTTTATTCATGAGGCGCAGCTGGTCCTGAGGTGTTCAGATGATTTTTGCGGCCGAGGCTGACCAAAAAGAACATCGCAAAACGGTTCACTTGTTTAGGATCATCTGATCATCCAATAAAAAGTCTCGGAGCTCTTAGAAAGTGTTGTGCTAGGAGCCCCAATGTAGCACCCAAACCCTCATAGGATGGGTGTTGACACCCTGCATCAAAGATCTCTGAATCAAAAGACTTCGAATAAATCACATCATCATCATCATCATCATCTTCATCATCATCTTCATCATCATCATCATCTTCATCATCATCTTAATCATCTTCATCATCATCATCATCATCATCTTCATCATCATCATCATCATCTTCATCATCATCTTCATCATCTTCATCATCATCATCATCATCTTCATCATCTTCATCATCATCTTCATCATCTTCATCATCTTCATCATCATCATCATCATCATCTTCATCATCTTCATCATCATCTTCATCATCATCTTCATCATCAACATCATTAACACTATTACTAGGGTTCTGCTTTGATGATCTTCGGTTTCATTATGCTAGGAGCAAGAAGCTACTAGGAACAAAGGGCATCGCTACTAGAAGCAAAGGCCGCTACTGTAGCTCCTGGCCGTACTTCTAGGAACAAGAAGCTACTAGGGGATCCTGGCCTTACTACTAGGAGCATCCTTACTACTAGGAACAAGAAGCGACTACGGTGGCCTCCGAGGCGCTGGTGCGGTGGAAGTCGGACCTGGCGGACACCGAGGCGGCCCGCGAGGAGGTGCGTCCTCGGCAGAAGTGAGGTTTGGCTTAAAAGAGATGGTGAGATGATGGTGAGATGGTGAGGGTGTGGGCAAAACACCATGGACTAGTATGGACTCTGCAATTGCGAGATGGAAGTGCCAGGCAGTGCAATCCTTTCAGACAATGAGAGAGGCTGTTCTTTTCCGCGATATTTTTTACATGTCCAAAAAGTGGCATCAGACTTTTTCTGATGAGTTGGTAAGCCCTACCATCGTCCTTCTTCCCAGCCTCATGCCAGGATCAGAAGGTCTTGCTGAGTCTCCATTCCAGCACCTCAGCTTCAGGGCAGATGAATCATCGCATGACTTGGAGATCAGCTCGGGCAAGCACAGCACTGGGCACTGGGAGATTCTGTTTGACATTCAATAGAACGGAGAGAGGGTCTGCTGGATTTTCATGGGTTTTCATTGGATTGGACCTCACCCCAAAGAAAGGCCAATCTCAATCTCCCTTGAGGATTTCTTCTCATGATTCCTGGCCCAGGCTGCGACAAGAAGGCCTCTGCTTGGGAAGCGAGGGCTCGGAAGCCCGGGGTGAACCTGGTTTGGTTGAGCCTTCCCTCATGAGGTTTGCCTGAAATTGCCCACAGGCCAGTCAAGAGCGATACATTGATATATTTAGTCTGCCTTTGGCTGAATGGGGAATAGGTCGGCATAAGTAATAAGCTTAACCAGAAGCTAGGAGTTCCTGGCATCGCTACTAGGAGCATCCTTACTAGTAACAAGAAGCTAAGTCGTTTGTTGGAACAACCCTCTTTAGGTCTGGTTACTAGTATTACTGTAGACATCTTTGAGGCGACTCTTTGGGCTTTTCAATCTTCCGAGGTGAAGACACGGGCTGAGGAGCTGCTGGCCATCGACGAGACAGTAAAGGTCTTGGATAGCGCCGCTCGGTGAACCACTTGGTGGGGTGAGAGATGGTTAGACTCTTGTTTGGAGTTGTGAATGTCAATTTCACTCTGACCAACAACTGGGGATACAACATGGTACGTGCTTGCATGTGGGGATTGGGCTGTCAAGACTTCAGGAATCGAGAAAGCATGGTAGCCTCAAATGAATCACGAAGCCACTTCGCACGGCACAACACGGCTAACGTGTGCTTTCGAACCGGAGCGGAAAAAAGGGAGCCTCATGGGCCGATGCATCACCTGAAACTGGACCAGAAGTGATTTGGCTTCAAGTTAAATTAAGACGCTGTCCCAAACTCGTTCAGCCGAGGATGATGCCCGGAACAGCTTGAGGAAGGCCCTGCCTGAGACCTCGTTCCTGCAGGCCGGCGAGCCTTTGGGCGTGTTGGGGGCTTGGAAGGGGCGAAGGAGAAGCTCGAGTAGCAAACCAGGCTCTCGGAGTCAGTGGATCCACTTCTTTGAGCCAAGTGAATAGGGGAGCATCGGCAGAGTGCGCTTCTGCTCCAATGGACATCGGTGAGGTCAGCCAGCTGTGCAAGCCATGGCGCCTCCGCTCGGCGGTGTCTGGTGAAGTCCTGGCGGCCTTGGATGTGGACCAGGTCCAAGGAGAAACGGTGAGAGCTCTGAAGGCTCGCTTGGGAAAGGAGCTTGGCGCGCCGCGATTCCGACAGAAATGGTTCAGTGAACATGGGCAAAGTGAGTTGCAGGACGAGGTGAAGATGGAAAGGTCTCCTGCGGATGTGCAGCTAGTAGTCCTAGATCTTTGCCCAGCTGAAGAAATGGATGTCCAAGAGCTGATTTCTGCATGTGCGGAAAATCGTTGGGAAGACCTGGAAGCGCTTTTGCAGCGGCCTTTGGATCCAGATGCGGCCGATGAGAGTGGCAGGACAGCGCTGCACACGGCAGCTTGGGCTGGGCATTTGCAATGCATCCGTTTACTTTTTGAAGCTGGCGCAGCACAGGACAGAGGAGATTCTTACGGCTTGACTGCCTTACATTGGGCAGCTCAGAGTGTTGACCCTGAAGTTGTCAGGATGTTGCTCGAGGCTGGGGCTGACAAAGATATGGTTGCAAACGATGGTGCAACTGCTTTGCACTGGGCAGCCGGAAGTGGCCACCTGGAAGTAGTGCGACTGCTGCTCCAAGTGGGAGCCGCCAAAGACAAGGTCGCAAGTGATGGAGGAACAGCTCTTCATTTGGCTGCTTGGAACGGCTACTTGGAAGTTGCCCAACTGCTAGTTGGGTCCGGAGCTGATACAGACAACCTCACCATATATGATGCATCAGCTTTACATTTGGCAGCTTGGAATGGCTTCTTGGAAGTTGTCAGGCTGTTGCTGCAGGCAGGAGCTGACGTAGAGAAGGCCGGACTGGATGGGGCGACAGCTTTGCATTTTGCTGCCCAAGAAGGGCACGTGGACGTTGTCCACTTGCTGCTTGAGGCTGGAGCTGTCAAAGAGAAGGCCACAACACTCAGGTCAACAGCTCTACATTTTGCAGCACAGGAGGGTCACGCTGAAGTTGTACGACTGTTGCTGAAGGCAGGCTCTCACAAAGATAGGGTCACGAGCAATGGGGAAACGGCTTTCGATTTGGCTGTGCAGAACGGCCACCTAGAGGTGCAGAACGTTTTACTCACAGGTGGAACTGACAAAGAGCAGTTCCAGGCTTAGACCGAGATTTAGTCGTTGTGGGGTGGTGTCACTTGGCCGGTGCCAGAAAGGAGCTACCCATGTTTTTGCTTATATAGGTGTTTGCTACCTGAGCTGAGCAGAGCATGACCATGCCTTTCATGGCTGAGCTTTGTCTAATTGATCACTTCCTTTTGTTCAAGTGAAGACTCGCACATTTGGCCAGACATGTTCCATCTACTCTATCAGCTCTATCAATGTTTGTCAAGCGGTCGGTGTCGGGGGTGTCGGGCTTTGGGACTTCAGCCGAGAGAGATGGGTCAAAAACTTCCCAGACTGGATGGATCAACACTTCTTCACGTCAGTGGAGGGAAACGAAAGGTTACCAAGCATTGCCAACATCTGGGGGGTCAAAACCTGGAGCCCCTGGTTCACCACCTTCAAGGTAGGTCAGCCAAGGCACCCTGGTGCCATGACCCACAGCCATGTCTCCACAGCCATGTCTCCTGAATGACCCTTCTTACAGGTCCACGATTTTCTTGGAGCATTTTCCACTTTTCCCGCCAAACACCAACTTAGCCTGGTCAACATCGTTGGATGGTTTTTCAACCCCCCACTTTTCCGGCCAACATGACACATGGACCGTTTTCGGCGACCTGTTTCGGCCGTGACCAGACTTGTTTTCGGGGTGGACCGGTTTACACCCCTAAAAACCGGGGATTTCTCCCAAAACGGGGAATTGGGCCCCGTTGGACCGGGAACGGGGCGTTGTCCAGCTGTCCCTGTGCAGGTGGACTCCGAGGACCGGAAGGCGAAGCAGTTCGGGCTCTTCGGTGGGGTTGTCCGGAGGAAGGTTCTGGGGTCACGACCCTTTGAAGCCTCGAAGTTCCACCCGGAGGTTCTTTGTGCGTGTTCTTTGTTTCCTTTTGTTTGTTTGTCCGCTCGCTTCCAACGCCTTCTTGGTTGGGTGGTCAAAGGTGAGAGTGGCCACTCGAATTGAGTCCGTACAGATTGGTGGCCAGATGTTTGAAGTCTCCACTAAGGTGTGAGGAACTGAGCCTTTAAGCAAAGCTTGGCAGGAGGCATTTTGAGGATCTCCGCTCTAAAGGAAGACAAAGTCTTCAAGGCTGTAGTTCCACAATTGACCAACCTCAAGTTTGTAGTGAGCACGTTTTGGTACGGGAGAAGCTTCTTTGTTGTTTCGCGCCACATGTCCCTTGCCCTTGGACTGCCCTTGGATGGGTTGTGAGGCCTTGCAAAGCGCATGTGGCTTCGGAATCTGTTAGATTTGTCCCCGAAACTGTTTGTGGACGCACCCCAAAACGGCAGACTCTTTACCCACTCTTAGGTAGAGGTCCCTGCAAACAATGAATGACCGCAAACTCTTGCTCCTAACCGGTCCGAATAAAAGAATGGCCACCAACTGCATTAGTCAGGGTGTGGTCATCGTCCGTGTTGCCAGGCACGAGCCTTGCAGGGTCTGCTGCGCCAGGCGTGACTGCTCGGGCGGCATGATGTTGACAAGAACACGCTGCAATGGTTCCACCGGGTTCCACCTTGGGTTCCAACCCTTTTTGGCTGCTCACTCTGTCCAACCCTGCTGACGAAACGTCCCTTAAACGCGCTCTGACATCGACGGCGGGGTGAGCCACACTAGGTGTGCCAACCGATCATTGAGCACAGTGTTGGGTCATGTTGTTCAGAATCAGAGCAGCATGGATAGTGCTTAATCTTGAGTAGCATCAAAGCGATTGTTTGCGACTGGTGGGACGGATTAGGCGACGCAGATGAGAAGCGGAACCACACTAAAGACATATGACATATGAACCAATCCCGAGACGAACAAGAAACACAACAATCTATACTATCTATCTGACGAAATTGTCTTCCCTGATCCATGATCTTCAGTCCAATCACTCCAGCCATCCCCCCCAACCACGAACGGCGCCGATGTCCGCCACGGTTCGAGGCGCCTGGTTCTGGTGCCGACTTGCTTTTGCTGGCCCTCAAAGGGCAAAAGATTGGGTTTGACAAGGTCAGCAGCGTTTTTTTGGCGGAAAAGAGTTGCACCTCAAATACTCAACAATAGGGCCGATGTCTTCCGGCATGGGTGGATGCGATGAAAAAATCGCTGTGAACTGGCCCTTGAAACCCACCACATTCACGTCCTGGTTGCTCCTGCGGTGGTGTCAATGGAGGTTTCTATTGTTTGAGAAACAATCCCCAAGCAGACATGAGCCAGGCAGTTTCATGCAGTTTCCAACTTTTTGATAAACATCCGTGGGTGTTTCCACATACCCAGCTAGCTTGCTTTTCCATCAGCCTGAAACCCTCGTTGACAGGTCAGAAACTCCTGATAGTGCAGTTGCAAGAAGACACCCACAAACATTGAAGTTCTCAACGATGTTGGCAAGATATGCACGTTGCCTCTGGTCGTATGTTGTTTTTTATTTATGTTCCAAAAAACAGATCGAACAGAGGCCTTTCGGACGTACAACGACTGCTGACACGTGTCTTCGGATCAGACCGTTCTTTTTTCCCCCACCGGTACAGGTGGTTCAGATGATTGACTCCATGAAGGTCACCATGAAGAAAGAGCAGGACTCAGCCCTGACTGATGGTGAGTGAGAGCAAAGAAGGCAGATCATTCGGCTCTGAACGATGGCTCTCAAAAGGACGAAAGCAAATTTCACTCTGAAACCATTTTTCATGAACCTATGCCCAAAACATGCTCGAGGAGAAACAGTTGCTTTCACCAAGGGTAGGGATGCAAGGGTAGGGCTGAACAGACAGGAGGGTGACGTGGCGCATGGCGCATGAATACTAGCTGTGCTTCAGCCGTTGTTATTTTGATGAATACATTGGTGTAACAAATTGTGTTTTCTAGATGTTTTTGGACGGTTTCCTTTCGCGGGTGTCGATGTGGATGATGTATGATGATGTCGATGTCGACTCAGGTTTGGTTCAGTTGGTGAAAAGGAGGGCACCGTTTTCTCAACGGGTTATGGTAGTTAAGATATGGTAAGCTGTTTCACCTGTGCATACTGTTCACTTGCAGCGCCCTCTAGAGATGAACTTCTGAGAGCTCGCGCTTCCGGATCGGTCGGAACGGCGCGTCTCACGCGCTGATCCTGTTTTAAATCTCGGATCCATCAGGAGAACGAGAAAAAGAAGAAGGAGTACTGCAAGCAGCAGTTCACAGGTTCACTGGACCAGCTTGGAGTTTGGTCGTTTGGAAGGCGAAGGTGCAGTAATTCTTGGGGACTTGCACACCGATGACAAACGGGATGTTTCTAGAGAACAGATGATGACGACATTGAATCACATTGACATATTGCCTCTTTTCATGCCACTTGCTCCGATGACAAACCAGCTGTGCTGGGCTCGGTTCACACGAGGTTCATCGGGGCATGGGGGCACTGACACGACCAATATTGTGGTTGCAAATTGAACATCGTTACCATTTCTCCTATGTTTTCGCATCAGCACCTGGCCATGTTTGGATGACGCCACTTTCGCGATGTTCGATTCCAAGCACTTGCCCAGCCACACAGAGTACACGGAACAGACATCAACACTTTGGAAAAGGCATTTTGTCGCGTGTAAGAAATCGGGCACTGAATGACTTGTGGAGTGCCCTTGGTGGAAATGGGTTCCCACTCTCATGATCTCTCATGGTATGTGAGCGCAAAGCGACTCGTTCTTGAAGGTTCGGATGACAAGAAGAGGGGCCTGCTGCTCCAAGCTGCTTGGGCCAACAACTTCAGCTCCAAATCCTCTGTTCAGATGTCACAGCACGAGAATTTCATGATTTCATGATGTTGGGTGGCTTTAGTAGCTTTCCTCACGTGTTTTTCAGGCACTGTTTTCGGTCTCCGAGGTCTCGAACAAGGAGACCAAGATGGAGAGCGCCAAAGATGTGCTCAAGGTCATGGAGTCCGAGATCCAGGACACGACACAGCCCAGTGTGACCATGGGAGATATACAATAATATACAATGATATACTATATATACATATATATATATATACTCTATTTCTTCTTGTGATATATTCTATATGCAGATTTGGAACGGGATCAGTTGCTGGAGGGTTCTGATCGGTGTTCTTTTCTTTGGGGATGGTGTGGTGTTGTGGTATGTTGTGGTTGATGTTGCTGAGGTCGTGGAGAAAAGTTAAACACCATTCAGACCATAGTGCCAGTAGGAACCTCTCTTGTCTATTTCCATGTCCTTCATATGAATGCCAAGAGTTTTAACCAAGCTGACTCAGCTGACAGTCTGTCAGCGTCAGAACATTTCATGATCAACCGCCGGATTGGCTCATCGACTTGGACATGGAGTTGGTGTTTTGACACCAACAGATCACAGGGGCGAGAGATGGGGCTCCAACATCTCCCCGATGCACAGGAGCTCAACGAGGGCCTCCAACGCTTAGACAAGGCCCGGAAATCTGGACATGGCATGCTGAACGCTTCTGGCGCAAGGGGTTTTTGGAGGCTCCAACGCCACAAGCAGATTGCAGTCCAAAAGCCTGAAGAAAAAGGAGTTCTGAGGACCTCGGACGATGTACAGAGTAACTTGCTCATTGTCTTGACGATTCTTTGATCCTAGCATCTTCTGCCCATCCCTTTGGCCGACCGGGACCACCCTCTGACCGATCGCGGGGCCAAGGATGTGGCGGACGCCACGGAGCAACGGAAGAAGGAGCACCAAGAGCTGGGATCCTAAGGAACTTCCCAAGGAATTACCGCCAACGTCCTTCCTTTGTCAACAGGATTATATTATATGAAAAATTACTGGGGCAGAGTCTTGCAGCAGGTCTAATCCTTGGGGTCCCTAGACCCTATGGGGTCCATAGCCTATGGGGTCCATAGCCTATGGGGTGCCTCCGAGGAGTTCTTGGTCAACGGAACAAACAGCCGGGAACACCCACGTTGTGACCCCGAAGTTCCTGGCGAACCCGGAACCTGGACTGCACCACAAGGAAGAAGGATTGGCAGAATTATGACTTGCTTAACTTGTTTTGGTCTTGCCTGGTGGCCGGCCCAGGTCTAGCCATGATTCCAGGATCAAATCCCTTTGAATCAAGAACAGACTCCTTGTGGTCCTGGTGTCGAGAAGCTTCCAACTCCTTCTCCAGCGTGGAACCGCGACCGCGACCGAGCTCCTTTTTTTCCCCTCTGACGCCCGGCGATGAGGTTCCTGGAGATGGAGAAGACCAGCGGCGAGGCGGCACAGCTCCTGCAAGTGGCCAAGAAGCGGCTAAAACAGTTCCTGGACGAATGAGGGTTCGGGTTTTTAGAGAGGGTTCGTGTGGATGGAAAGATATTGGAAAGGATGTTTAGGTACCCAGAAAAGTTTGGATACAGTTCACATTGCTGTGAAATAGATAGATGATTGATAAGGTTTTCTCTAACTTTAAGCCATATTGTTTTCTTTCAGAGAAGGTGACTATATAGACAACAACTGTGACAGGTTGGTTTGCTTTTGGGTTTCTTGTTCTTCTTCGTTTGATTGCATATTGCTGTGACAACAGCTTGCTGGAGGTCTCGCATGGTCGCAAGCGCTGGTCGAACTGTGTTCACCATCTTTTCTGATCGCCCTACTTTGAACCATCCCGCCCCAGTGGCGGCGAGGGTGGCTCTTAAGGGGCTGGTGTTTTCTCCAAGACTGGATGCACCTGATTTGTTCAAGAGGAGATGCTACTCTACTCTATACTCCCCAAGAAAGCGACGGAAGGGCGACGTTCTTGCAGGTGATCCTACTTGGCAGGTGGTTGGGAAGCTTGTCACAAAGCCTTCAATACATCACAAGATCCTATCACTTCTCTACTTGGATTGGCATTGGCATCTGGGCAGACAGCGGGTGTTTTAGAACCTCCACCAGACGTTTCCTGGATTGTTTGATTGATTCCAACAGAGGTTTTATGCGAAGCCGCCTTCATTGGTCGAGGCGGGATTGACACTTCAACCAAGCAGAGTGTGGCTGTATAATTTAGACTGTGGACGCATAGCACCTCCATCATAAACAGGTTTTGCAATCCACATAGGAGGGGTGATGAATTTTTTAAGAGTCTACATTAGGACCTCGTGACCTCTGTTTTGGTTCCAACAGTCCGCAGTCCTTGGGACAGCGCAGTGTCCTTTTCATTCAGTCTGGCCATGCCGCGGTCCTGCGGCGCAGGTGTCGGAGCTGGTGTCGGTGCCCGGGCAGGCACCGGTTCGACACTGTTTGGTCGCAAACCGTGGCGACGTAGGATTCAGTCTTCAAGCGGTTTTCACGGTGAATCCAAAGCTCCGCAGCTGAGAGAAATAGTCTTTGATTCTTGTATCCCTTATCCCAAGTCAGTAGTTTGCGTCATGCACCTCATTTCGTTCAAAAATGGAGATTCAATCAGTCAAAAGATGTCAATATTCTTTTTATTGGAGCAAGTCCAAACTCCAACAGGCAGCAGTTCTGCATTTCATCCCTCCAACCTCCACGGCCCTTTGGGCTCGAATCAGCCAGTGGCTACCGCGAAACGGGTCGCTCTTTGGAGATACCGTTTTTTTGGGGCCGAGCAGCATTGTCATGCACTGAAGCGGTGAAGATTTATATAGAGGAATTGCAGATGATGTAAGAACATTTCAACTATCCAAATGAGCATCTCCTCTGTCCAGAGTATGTTTGAAGCACTTGATCCTCTTTTCTTTTCTTTGTCCACCACCAGAGAGCTCCGCATCAGAGCTGAACTCTGCTTTTTGGAGCCATGGCACAGGAACACCAGGAGTACATCCAGCAGAAGGTGCCAGGGATGATCGAATCCGCCCAAAACCCATGAAAGCCATCCATCCATCCCCTCAGCCAAGGTGAACCCAATCCTCGAGAATTTGGTGACCCAACTGCTGTTGGAGCGACCGGCCACTCGGAGAAACTACATAGGCAGCGACCACATAGGCACGACATCCCCCATGAGTGATGATGGAGTAGATCATGTGGCTGCTTTTAAGAACATCGATTCCCTTCCCAGCCTTCTCATGGGCTCTTGCAACCATTTGTTTTGAAGCCTTCTTTGCACCTCAGAGCCCGTGCTTGGAAGTGCTTTACTATCCCAAGCCCACCCTTGGGTCACGTCACCTTGATCAGGAATTTTGTCCATCGGCCAAAACCTCGACATCGCCAACGTGGTTTTTCCTCTCTTTTGAGTTTTGAAGCTGGCAATGACAGCCAAACTGGGCCTAAATGATTGCAGAGTCCTCCACCGTCCTCTTGCGCTGTGAAGGGCGCTGGTCCTTGAATGGTGGACTTCGTCTCATTCTCTCATTTGTTCTCTCAATAGGTCTGGGGACGTCAGGTCAACCCAACCAAACAAGCTGATGGCGCATCCGGTTCGCTGAATTCGTTCCTCGGATCGACCCAGACTCTCCACTTTGCACCTCTTAGGGATCCCTTGGGACCCCTTGTCGCCTTGGCAAGGTGCGATGACCAGCTGAGCATGGAAAGCCCCTATTCTGTTTGGCACCCACCTAACAGCTCGCGTCGAGGAACAGCTGGCGCCCTTCATGATCAAATGGCTCTCCCAGAACTCAAAGACCCCGGCAGCAGCGGCCTTGACAGAGGGCGTCAACGTGTTGAGCGAGCTGAAGGCGACGAGCTTTTTTGGTAGATGTCCGGGTTTGCGGAAGAACGGATGGGAGGTTGTGGTTGTTGTTGTTGTTGTTGTTGTTGCGTTTTATATTCTTTTCTGTTCTGGTCCGGTCTGGTCCCCTTTTCTGGTGCTTTCTCTTTCTCTTTACCCCTTCGTTCTTGCTAAGCTGCTAAGCAAGACGTGTGAAGTGCTTGGATGGGGTGCATTTGCTTGAAGATTTGGCAAGAACCGAGCATCGGACTTTACAGGGTGAGCAGTAGGTCGCCATGAGAAGTCGGATTGGTCGTGGTTTTCTGCAGGTGGAAATGGACAAATTACAAGAAGAGGTGAAGGACTTAGAGAAGCAGGCGCTGGATGGAATCTCTTCAAGTCTCTTCTCGGGCTGTATCGAGGAGGGGATCGGAACGCTTGATTGCCAGTCAGCAAAGCCATAAATGTTCGTTCCCTGTTGAGCTGAGGGATTCACTAACCAGGGTAGGCAAGTGTGCCCCAAGATGCCCTTGGTCCAGCTGGTTCCCTCCTCGGCGATTACTGTAGAAGGATGTAGAAGGTGTGATCAGTTTGATGACAACAAGTTGCAGGCATGTTCTTGACCGCGACTGCGGAGTCTGCATAGCCATCCAAAGCTATCATCGTCTTGGATTTCAGTTCTCATTTGCCAAGTCCAAAGCTGAGTTCGCACCGAGTTCGCTTGCCCCCCCCCCCTCGCGCGATGGATCTTGTGGATCTTGTGTACAGACGGTGTACAGTGGTCTTGGGCAGGTACAGGCCAAGCGTGGAGGGGTCTTCAAGAGCCTTGACAAAAGAATGGTGGTAGATGCTGGGTTCCAATAACATGATTAAGCTGGTCAAGCGGCCGCCATTCACCTTGCGGCTTTAATTTAAGTGTCCATCATTGTCCATCCATATAAACTTCTGTTGAACTTCACTGCAGATGAAGGGTATTCCTACACTGGAAGGACATCTCTTGAGAACATCCTCAAATCCTTGACTCATCATAACATAGAAACTGACAAAGCTTCTTGATAAAGGAGTTGATTACAGGATACAGTATGTCTTTCTTGAGTCTTGACTATCGATGAAGTGTTCTTCGGGAACAGGGTGACAGGTAAGTGTCCTTTTTCAACGCTCCCGAAACACCCAAGTTTCCCCGCAAGGAATTTGGACGCTGAGACTGAAGAGGAAGAAGATGAGGAGGTGGATGATGTCATTCCTCCACCATCGTACTTGAAGAAAGGCATGATTCTCGGGTGCTTGGACGACCAGGGCATGAAGCATGGGTCTTATCGCCAGTTTGTATCAGTTTGTGAATATTTGTGTTCAACCAATAGGGGCAATTCCAACAAATCTGCGGTTTTAAATCTTAGCTGTCAAGAGGCATTTCTGCACATCCCAATCGAGGGTACAACCCACTTGGAACTCATGGGTCCTTGTTTTGGCCTTGCCTTTTCTTCACCTTTCCACCGACTCCTGGGTGCCTGGGTGTCCTGAGACTCCGGCGCACGACCTCGCCAGGGCCACGGAGCTCGGTGTCCGCCGAAGCCTACGGCGAGTTGAAGGCCAAGGTCTTTGTGCCGCCGGTCTATCCGAAATCCGAGGCGCCGAGTCCCGGACCTTCGCGGGGCCCGAGGAGGGAGGCTTCTGAGGACGTTTTTCGGACCGGGAAATGGGAGAAGAAGAAGGATTCTTCCTAGCCCAACGTAGGGGCTTAGTGTTTAGGGACGGTTTTTTTTTGCGACAGTTTTAGGTTTTTTTAAACACAGTTGCACAGTTAAGGGGGTTTTCTGCGACGGTGCTACCTGCAAGGGGGGTTTTCTGCGACGGTGCTGCTGGAAAGCAGGGTTTTCTGCCACAGTTCTGAAATTACTGTCGCAAAAACCCCCCTGGGCTTGGAGTGAGTAGTGGTCAGTCAGAATAGTAGAAGCAGCAGCAGCGAACTCGAACTCGCGCTTGTGCGCTTGTTTGTTTGTTTGTTTGTTTTTTTGTTTGTTTGTGTTTTGTTTTGTTTTGTTTTGTTTTTGTACACATACCTTTGTGTAAGAGTTTGTCGCACAAATGAGAAACGTTGAACATTCCAGAAATGTTTAACAAATGGAAGTGTTTTACCAAAATGTTCAACAAATGGTAGTGGAGCCAACAAAGCATCCAGAATTAGCTTGTGATTAGCATCAGAACACAATGGATTTCTGATGGGAGGGTGGGTAGAAGATCCAGAATTAACTTTGTGTTGGGTTGGGTTGGGTTGTGGTGTGGTGTGTTTTGTTGTGTTGTGTTGTGTTTTGTTGTGTTGTGTTGTGTTGTTGTGTTTTGTTTTGTTTTGTGTAGTAGTAGTAGTAGTAGTAGTAGTAGTAGTAGTAGTAGTAGTAGTAGTAGTAGTAGTAGTAGTAGTAGTAGTAGTGGTAGTAGTAGTGGTAGCAGTAGTATAGTAGCAGTAGTATAGTAGCAGTAGTAGTAGTCGTCGTAGTCGTCGTAGTCGTAGCAAATGGATGTGTTTTACCAAAACGTTTAACACATGGTAGTGGAGCCAACAAAGCATCCAGAATTAGCTTGTGATTAGCATGAGAACACAATGGATTTCTGATGGGAGGGTGGGTAGAAGATCCAGAATTATCCTGTGATTCTGACCGCATTGCCTAGCAGCAGAAAACGCACGAGCCGTCCCACCAAATCGGACGCGCCCCCGCGCAAAAGACGCTGCGGTGTCTGACACAAGATATACTGACGCTCAAAAAGAAGTCTATGCTTTTTCTTTTGTCCTCTCGCCGATTCTGGTATCTTCTTGTATGAGCGCTGACAGCGCACCAATCTCGTAGCTCGTGCTTTCGTTCCATTGGAGTGGCTGCCAGGTCTTTCTTCTAACGTGGCGTGGCCGCCATTGTTTCCAAGTGTTCTGCTCACTCTGTTCTGCTTTGTCGCTCGCTGTTTGCGCTCGCCAGGTTACCTGCTCATCGCCAGGGTGGGGTGCGACGCCTGCGTACGCACAGTTTTTCTTCTCTGCCCAGCGTCCGCCTTGCCGTGGCAGAGAAGCTCAGTACCGCGGCATGCGGGAAGCCAAGAGGCGCTGAGGGATAACGCTTGTCAACTGGCAACTGTCTTCCACATTGCCGACGTCTTGCGCCACGATATGCAGTCTGGTGGTACAAGTGAAAATCCAAGGAGTAGTATACTCGTTCTAGCAGTTAGTAGTCTTAATATACTATTCGTCGTACTGGTTGTCGTAGTCGTAGTAGCAGTATAGTAGTATAGTAGTCGTCGCCGTAGTCCTAGTAGTAGTAATAGTAGTAGTAGTAGTAGTCGTAGTAGTAGTAGTAGTAGTAGTAGCTAGTAGTAGAAGTAGTAGTAGTAGTGGTGGTAGTAGTAGTAGTAGTAGTACCAGTACTAGTACTAGTACTAGTAGTAGTAGCAGTAGTAGTAGTAGTAGTGGTAGAAGTGGTAGTAGTAGTAGTCGCCGTCGTCGTCGTACTACTACTACTACTATAGTACCGTCGCCTCGAGCGCCTTACTGTCACAAAAAACCCCGCTTACCGTTGCAGAAAACCCCGTCCATGCGCTACCGTCGCAAAAAGCCCCGGTTACTGTCGCAGAA